GCAGCATTACATCAGAGTCAGAATAAGCTTTATTGGATTCTGATCAAGGAATTGGGCTCTTTTGGGTTTTTTCTGTGCTCTCAATGTACTTAACAGATACACACACGGACAATAACAGCATGTATAGTGTATTTATAGGTGCAATGATGCAGTAGTGCACAGTGCTAAGCATTTCACAGCATGACGTCTGTTCAATTTCTCAGGCTACGTCCACACTAGCCCGGATAGATTTGAAAACGGCGTTTTCGTCTGGAAACGCTCCGCGTCCACACTAGCGTTTTCAGTCGTTTTCACGGAGTTGCACGTCCACATTGAAACGGCCCAAAACGCTTACGTTCCGGTCCTGCGCATGCGCAAAAGCGAGTGAGAATTAAAGGATTTGAAGAAAAGCTATCTGGAGCATGTACAAACTGATAATAGTCAAAACTGAGAGAAATCAAAACAACTGCTCTATAATGGCCTCCGCTATCTTTGTTTAATTTGTCACATGACTGCATCACATGACTAAAATGCGTCATCGTTTCAAACGCATCGTTTTTCCTTGAGGAAAATGCCGTCTCCGTGTGGACAGGAAGCCAAAACGGAGAAAGCTTCAGTTATCCAGCGCTGAGTCGAAAGGAGCTGGACTTCCTTTAAGGGTCATGAAGACAAAGAATCCGTTTCTTGACTGGTAGTAAGCTTAACGACTCACAGACCATCGGGTGGGTCAACTCTCAGGACTACATCCACAGCCTGAACCCCCACTAGGAGTTAAATACCTGGTTCTCCCCCCATCACCTTTTAGAACCGAAAAAGCACCGCAGATGTGAGATAGGAAACATTTCCTTAACCTAAGAAGTCCAGCTGCCTTCAGTTGAAGCACTTAAGACTTCACTGCGTGACGGGATGAGTTGACGATATAGAGGCGAAGGGAATGAGGGAAGTGTAAGAGAACAAATTTGATGCAGGAGTGAGCAGAGAGATGTTTGCGGGATGGGTGAGGTTGAACTGAGCAAGCGTGGTGGTTAATTTTAGGAAGTATGAGGAGGAGGAAGAGTTTGGTATAATTGCGAGGTTGTTTGAGTTTTTGTGAAATACTAGATGATATCTCGATGCAGTGTTCAGCTATCGTGGTGACGAGGTGTGGCCTCATGTTCTACTACTATGAAGTCTGGTTGAGGTGCAGCTGAAGGGCGTGTGCGTGGTTGGTGCATTGTTGTGTAGCGTATCCCTGTGCATGACCTCCACGGTCAGACAAAAATTGCCAAGTGGGTCCGATGGCGGAATTTACGTGCCTATCGGAGTCACAGAAAACTAAAAACTGCCAAAAACTAAAGA